CTCGGGACGCCCATCTCTTTCGAGCTTCGGTACTCAGGTGCAACGCGGGTCGGTGGCGAGCCCAGTGGGCGAGTCAGAGGGGGCGGGCCTGATCAAAAGCTTCGGAAGGTTTCCAGCATTCCGACGATCCTTTTTGAGAGCTTTCCGAAGACGCGGACGGACTCGCAGAGCTCCCGGGGGCTTCGAGAAGCCCCGTCGCCTTCTGAAAAGGCCTGCCCCCTCTCACTCCCCCCCGGGGCGCTCCGCCGAGTTGGGGGGGAACGCTCAGGGTGGGATGCACCGACCCCGAACCGCCCATCCATCGCCGATGGGGGCCCGACAGCCCTCGCCGCCAGGGGACCTGCCGCCGATCTATGGACGATGCACCGCTGGTTTTCCAGGTCGATGTCCGTGACGTGCGCGGTTCTGTCTTTCAATCCGCGGCCCCCAAGGTCCCGACCCCTTCATTCGGGGCAGCTTTCCGTCGCCGGACCGTTCCTGATGGTCCCAGCGCCTGGGAACGGAACCTTGGGGCCTGAATGGAGGAACCACGCCCAGATCGAGCAGATCATATCGCCAGAGATTTGGCTGTAATTCTACAGCTTTGCTTCCTGGCGTTCCCCCTCAGGTCAGGAGCGAAAGAAGTCGTACACGTACATGAATCCACGCTGGCTTCGAGAGTGCGCATTACGCGAGCGTTCGTAACACGAGGCCAGTCTCGCGGACTCGGGGGCCTTGTTCATGTACGTGGTTGGCTGCGTCTGTCCTTTGTGTGGGCTTCGTATCAGGTACGTCAGGACCGCCAGGGGCAACCTGGTGGAGGACCGGGCCTTCAACGTGAGGTCGCGACTGGACGCCTTCGCGGGCAAGAAGGTCTAATGCACAACGTTGGGGGGGATGCATCGGCCCCTCGATGTGCGACACCCCAACGACGCCGTCTCAGGGACGTTTCGGGTTCGAGGTTATAAGGTTTTGGGCGTTTTCGTCATTCGGTTCTCCGCGGTTCTCCGGCCTCGGGATGCTCCCCAGCAGCTGCGCCTCGCCGAGGGCGCTCCTGGGCTTCGTGGGCCCTGGAAACGACAGGGCCGTTTTTTTACCGGTTCCGTTCTGCCGTTTTTTTGCCGGTTCCGACGCCGTTTTTTTACTGGTTCCGTCGCCGTTTTTTTACCGGTTCCGGCTCCGTTTCCAATCCTGGAGCAGTTTTTGTTGCCGTTTCCGGTCGCCGTTTTTTTGCCGTTTCCATTTTCAAGGGACATTTTTTTGGAAACGGTGAAAAAACGGCCCTGCCGTTTCCGGGGTCCACAAGCTCCTGGGTGCCCAGATCGCCCTGAACGGCCGCCGGAGAGCCGAGTTGCGACCCGAGAGCCAAAGGGCGACGTTCACTCGGGGGGGGGGATAAGCTCCGGGCGGGACGCATCGACCCTCAGTCGCCCATTCGTTCCCGAGAAGGACCCGATGGCCCACCCCCGCCCAGGAGCGTGCGGATGTGCTACCGCGGGCCAACCTCGGGGAAACGTAAGACTCGAGTAAGCCGGAGCTCGGGTTTGCCAACGTTTTTTGACGAGCGCGTCCTAGATTTTGACGGTCCAGTTTTCGTGGGATGTCTGCAGCGGGAGCCCGCGTCAAATTTCGGATTGGGTCTCGTCATTTTTATGATGGCCCCGTTGGGCCCAACCCGAGTCCCTCGTACCCGAGTCTTACGTCTCCCCGACAACCGCCGATCCGGCGATGTATCGCCGATTGCACATCGACGTTCCCTCTCCCTGGGCCAGTCCCCCCCCTACCGTTCTCCCTCGAGGTCGTGAGGGAGGTGACTTACGCGGACGTGCCGAACTTCGGCCGAGAGGACATGATGAAGAAGGGCGACGGGCCGAACGATCCTCTGCTGACGGTGGTGATCCAGTTCAAGGTCGGGCGACTGGAGCTATGCTTAAGTCGGGCCTATCCCTCTCTACAGGAGGAATGTTCAAACATAGTCGGAAACTAGTCTGGAGACGATCTTGTAAGTTGTTGTTTAACTTGTTGGGCACTTTTTTATTATCATATTTTTCGTCGAACATCAGCCTGTAGGAGGACACGCCCGACCGAAAGCTATGCACATCCACAGCCCCAGGCTAGGCCCAATATCGGTGTATGTATGCATGCATGCATGCATGTATGTATGTATGTATGTATGTATGCGTGCGTGCGTGCGTGCGTGCGTGCGTGCGTGCGTGCGTGCATGCATGCATTCATGTATGCATGCATGCATGCATGCATGCATGCATGCATCTATGTTTCTATGTATGTCTGCATGCATGCATGCATGCATGTATGCATGCATATATGTATGTATGTATGTATGTATGTATGTATGTATGTATGTATGCATGCATGCATGCATGCATGCATGCATGCATGTATGTATGTATGTATGTATGTATGTATGTATGTATGTATGCATGTATGTATGTAGGTAGGTAGGTAGGTATGTATGTATGTGTGTGTGTGTATGTATGTATGTATGTATGGATGGATGGATGGATGGATGGATGGATTGATGTATGTATATCTGTATATATATATATATATGTGTATGTATGTGTGTGTGTATGTAGGTATGTGTGCATGTATGTATGCATGCATGCATGCATGTATGTATGTATGCATGCAAGCATGCATGCATGCATGCATGCATTCATGTATGTATGTACGTACGTATGTATGTATGTATGTATGTACGTATGTATGTATGTATGTATGTATGTATGTATGTACGTACGTACGTACGTACGTATGTATGTATGTATGTATGTATAGGTGTATGAATATATGCATGCATATATCTCTGACTGCATATATGTATGTATGTATGTATGTATGGATGGATGGATGGATTGATGGATGGATGGATGGATGTATGGCTATTTGTATGTATGTATGTTTAGAATGTATGTATGTGTGCATGTGTGTATGCATGCATGCATGCATGCGTGTATGCCTGTCTGTCGGTCTGTATGTCCGTATGTCTGTCTGTATGTATGTATGTATGTATGTATGTATGTATATATGCATGTATGCATGCATGCATGTATGCATACATGCAGGTATGCATGTACGCATGTATGTCTGCATGCATATATATATACATATATATATATGGACATATACATATAGACATATACATATACATATATATATATATATGTGTGTATATATATGTATACATAGGTGCCTGTCTGACCAAGCAAGTGGGGCGCACGCGCCGTGTTCCAGGGCGCGGGCTCGGGCCTGGCCCCGGGCGGTGGATGTGCATCGATCCCGTCCCCCCATCGATCGAAGAAGACAAAACGCCATGAACATAAACTTTTGGCGCTCCGCGCGGATTTTTTTTGTGTCCGCACTGGGCCTCCCGGCGGCGGATCCAGGAAATCCGCGCGGAGCACCAAGAGTTCATGTTTTTTATGGCGTTTTTTCTTCTCTGCAATCGAGGGTGCCACTCAGAAGCAGTTCATTACGCGTTTTTTGACCGAGCTGGGAGACGACGGAAACGTCTTCCGCGTGCTCGCGAGCCAGCGCTCGCTCTTCGCCATAGGGGCCGAGGCCGCCGTCGCAGTGGACGAGGAGGTAGTGACCTCTCTTCGGCGGAAGCCCGACGGGAGCGTCGTCGGCCGGCTTCGGCTGGTCGGGTTCCTGAATCCGAACGATGTCCTGTTCTTCGAGGCGGCCGACAAGGCCGAACGGGCTGACGCATCCTCGGGCAACGTTCGGCGGGGTTAGGCTGGGGGGGGGATGCGTCGGCCCTCAATCGCCCACTGATCGCCGACAGGGGCCTGATGGCCCCCACACCGCCCGAGCACGCGCGGACTGGCTGTCGGAGGGCCTATCGCCGATCTGTCGGTGGTATCGCCGACTCCTCGGCGATGTCTTCACCCCGTAGCTGTTCCACTTATAACGTTGCTTCTCGAATCCCTGAGCAATGCATGTGGCTTGGCAGCGCGTGGTCTGTACACGGGGGACAGTCTTTGAGGGGGCAGAAGGTGGGGGGATGATTTGCTCTAGGGCGTAGAGGATGGGGGGCAGGGATGTGGATGATGTGGGAACGCATCCGGCGGAGGAGGACAAGGATGAACGACATGAACTGGCAGATGGGGGAATTGAGAATGAGGAGGATGGCATGATGAGGACGGGGAGGAGTCGGAGGGGCATGGGGAGGGTGGGGCGAAAGCGAAGGGATATCGTGAGGAGGCGGGGGATGAGGCTTGAGGGTAAGGCGGGCGCCAGCTAACGCTTCGCTGATCACTGTTCTGCGTGCCCGTGCACCCCCCCATAAAACAGATACGTTGCAGAACTTCATTATCTGGGTAGTCGTGCGCGGCGTGCGTCCAGGCCAACGGCTCGAGTCCAAGACGCCCCTTGGCGTCGCGTTGATGCCGCCCCGATTCGCCAGACCGCAGATGCACAGATAGGCAGACCCACGTTGGAATCCAATAAGGGAGGGGGCTCGCCCCGCACCCGGAAATTATTTGACCACCTGCGCGATCGATTCATCGTTTGTTTCGGTTTGCGCGCGCGGGCGCGCGCGTCTGGGCCGCATGAGATGTTCTGGCATGGGTGTCAGGACATTTTATTTCTGTTTGTAGCAACTATGCGAGCACAAGCTTGAGTCTTGTTGAGAAGCCACTTTTCCAGATGTGTTCGGGGAGCTCTCTGTTGAAACGCTTGTTGGATTAACGCGTGTGCACTACGTAGGTTCCAGTGACGGGGGTCACGCGGGGGAGCTGGACAAGCCAGGAAGGGTATGCCCACGTGTGCCAACACGACTGTGTATCCTCGCCGTGGCGGAGCGACAAGTTTTTCCTCCCTGGCACCTGGCATGCCGTCGCGCAGGAGGAAGGCGGAGGAGGCCGAGGCGGCGGACCGCGGAGGGTCGAAAGCGCGCGGCAGCGTTCCGTGCGACCCCCTGGGACGGGAGCCAGGCCGCCAGGCAGAGGACAGCGGACAAAGGCCCAGGGCGCGTTGCCTCGCTCCGCACGGCCTTCTGGGACGGAAACCAGTTGGAACCCTTTGGGGCGGCCGCCAGGCTGACGGAGTCTCCCTCTCGCCGACCTCGCAATCGGGCGAGCATGGCTGGCAAGAGGTCCGAGGTGACACGTGACCTCGGAGATCACCCCCACAGTGCGGTTGACGTCTTTGGTCAAAGAGGCCGACAGCACGCGCAAGTTCGCGGGTGGCCACGTTGTCGTGGCCAATGTGGGCACTTGCCGTTCCTGTGAGGAAGAGCGCGGCTTTGTATCGCTCTTCGTTTTAGCTTACGACAGCGGCGAGATTTCATGGTTCCAGAGCATCAGCTTTCTCGTTGCGCGCGAGCACGCCGCCCCGGTCATGAGCGGCGAGTGCTTGGGGACGTTCATCAACAGGGCCGCGGATATTTTGCGCACGCTTCTAAATGCACTTGAGGTCTCACGGGGGCAAGCAGCACGGTGACAAGGACTATTAGCTCAGGCCGGGGACAGACAGCCTGAAGGCCGAATGCTCCAATTTAGAAACGGAAAAAGGAGACGCCGCCCCCGCATGCCATTTCCATCGAGTCTCGCAACAGAGGCGGATATCAGGACGCACAAGGTTTGCCGTGTTGCACCGAACGTCCGATTCAAAATCTATCAACGAGGTTGTCCTGGAGGACGAGCGGCTAGGAGCATCAGCAGGCTTCGCCATCGTCTTCGGTGGAGATAACAGCATCATGCGCGCGCACCCGCACTGCAAGGCGGCCCCCCTCAAGTCGGAAGGGCGGGCGCGCTGCGCAGGGCGGGCGCGGGTGAACGGGCCGGGAAGCGCCGCGGACGGGTGGGGCCATTGGAGGCGCGCGAGCAAGAGGCGCGGCCGCCGGTGGTTAGGGACGGGCAAGGACGCGCGGGGGAACCGTGTCATTATCTTTCCGTCTCGACCCATCGTCGCGAAGGGCGGCGCGGGGCCCTGGATGAGGAGGGCGTAGAGAACGGTCGAGCTGGCGCCCGTCATCAACGCCACGAGGGACGGGGTGATCAAACTGGGCGGGCAGGTGGAGAAGGAGATTGGCGCACTCATGGGCGCCATCGGCTCTGGCGGCGAGGAGGCCCGCAAGAAGCTCGTCAAGCACGTGTCCACGTTCTCGGAGGAGAGGATCACGGAGGGCATGCTCAGGCACTTGCAAGTCCGCGCCCACTGCGAGGGCGGACGCTTCTCTCAGGACAAATGCACGGACAACGGTGCTGCCGCGCCGTCCGCCCGCACGCGAGATGTCGCATGAGTGAGGTCGAGTGCGACACGGTGATCGATCGCCTGTGCTCTGCGACATCTTTGGCGCCGCCGGCGGGCTCGGGCCCCGGAAGGGCCGGGGGGGGGGGGAACGGTTCGCGATGCTTTCAAGGCGCGCGGTCGAGAGCCAGAACGTGACTTAGGAGGGCCTGATCGAGCATGGCAGCGCGCTCTGATCTGAGGATCGGCGGTGGTCTGTGAGGCGTTCTGGCGACGGCGGCGGCGGCGCCCCAAACGGCGGGCCGTGCTCGACGAGATGACGCAGCCCCCCCGGGAACTCCACGAGTCGATCGCCGAAGAGAGGGCGGCCGCCAAGGACGGGGCGCCCGCGGCAAGGCGCGGCCGCGGGTGTCGCGGGCGCATGCGGCTGACACCGCCGTGGTCGCGTCGCAGCATCACCCAGCACGTCGTGCACGGCGGCGCGCGGGCGGAGCTAAAGGCGGCGGCGGCGGCGGCGGCGCGGCCCGCGGCGCGCCTCGAGAGGGGCTACTGGCCGAGGCGTGGCCGAGGCGTGGCCGAGGCTCCGCCGCCGCGGGGCCCGCGCGAAGGGAGGGGCCGCTTCGCTCGGAGGTGCTGCGCAAGGGGAGGGGTGACGACATGGTGTTTGTCGGGTTACAAACTTGTCCTCTCAGGGCGCAGAGCTTGGCCATGAGAACAAATTCTTTCTGGGGCCTGCCGCGCGGGGCGTCCTCCGACACTCTTGTTTTGGGAGGACGGGTTGGTTCGTTGGTTGGGTGGCCGGTTGACTCGCTGGGTTCCCGATCGAGCAAATTTGTTCCCAGGCTGGTTGGTTGATTGGGTGATTGATTGATTGATTGGTTAGTCTGGTGGCGGTTGCTTGGTGTGTTGTTGGTGGATTGGTTGTTGATTGCCTGGGTCGTTGGTTGGTTGGTTGGTTGGTTCGTTGTTGGGTTGGCTGGTTGGCTGGCTGGCTGGTTGGCTCACCGGTTTCGGGGACATTCTTTCCGAGGCGATGGGGTGGTTGGTTGTTTGGCTGGCTGGCTGGTTGGTTTGTTGGGCGGTTGGTTCGTTGGTTGGCCGGTTGGTTGGCTGGTGGTTGGTCAGTTGGTTGGGTGGTTTTGTAGCTGGGTGGCCGGTTGCCCGCTTGTGTGTGTGTGTGTGTGTGTGGGGGGGCATTTCTCCCCTCCAATCGTCCTGCCTTCCTCCCCCTTCCTCCTCACCGTTCTTCCTTCCCCTATCCTTCTCTTTGCCATTATCCCTTCTGATCCTGCGCTGTCCTCCTTCTCCTCTTCCCTTCGCCTGCAATTTACTGCAATGCAATGTCTTGCAGCTGCAATGCAGATGCAAAGCAATGCAACGCAATGCAACGCAACAGGCTGCAATGCAACGCGAAGCACCGCAATGTAATGCAACGCGTATGCAGCACAACGCAACGCAACATGACACAGTGCAACGCAGCGCAGCACATCGCAATGCAACGCACTGCAATGCAATACGATGCAATGTGATGCAATGCAACGCAATGCGCTGCAATTCAATGCGCTGTGCCGCTATCTGCGCCTAGTCACGTGGCAGCGCCGCGGGGCCGAAACATAGTTTGGCCAGCCATATGCAGTAATGAGAACCGCAATTGTGAGTACGTATTGTCACCGGTGGAGCTCCCTGTGGGGCCACGAAACGTGTGATGGTTGTTCCGGAGTGGGCGCGGCTGGCGCATGCGAGCGCAGCGCCACTGGGATCTTCGGTGGAGCCCCCTATGGAGCCACGAAGTGAGGGGTGTGCCGAAATGTGTGCGACCAGCGGATTCGAGGGCAGCCATTGGGGCCCTCGGTGGAACCCCCGATGGGGCCACGAAGCGTGTGAGGGGTGCGCCGGAATGGTCGATTGGCGCGCGGGGGGGGGGGGGCAGAGAAAAGAAGGGGGAAGAAAGGCGAGGAGGAAGAAATGACCGCGGGGCGTTGTTTCTTCAAAACGAGGACCCAAAACTACATGATGGTTGGGAAATCAAGACTTCCACTCCACTCGCCACGTGGCACCGCCTTGGCGGGCGACATCGTTCTATTCCGCTCTACTCGTCACGTGGCAGCGCCGCGGGTGCTGAGAACAATCCTATTCCAGTATTCGCCACGCGGCACCGCCATTTTGGGGGGGGCGAAACAACACACTCTTCCACAAGAACTCGTCACGTGGCAACGCCGCTGGGGGCCCACAACAGTACTCGCCCACGCCATTTGCCAAGTGGCAACGCCTGAAGGCGTGAGGAAGTACTGTTCCGCCCACTCCTGCTTGTCACGTGCCAGCGCCGCGGGGGCCGACAGCAAGAACCATTCCACTCCTAGTCGTCACGTGGCAACGCCCTCGGGGGCCGAACATGATACTATTCCACTCCGCTCGCCACGTGGCATCGCCTGTCGGCGCGCAGAAATCGTATTCCGTTCTAGTCGTCACGTGGCAGCACCGCGGGGGCCGAAACAGACAGTTTGCCACGATGACGCCGACGAGGTCGACGACGAAAACGACGACGGCGATGGCGACGACGATGACGACGACGATGACGAGGGCCAGGGAGGCGAACAAGCATTCAATCCTATATCCCTCCTCGCCCTTCTTCCTCCATCTTCGTTCCTCCCTCCTGTATCCTCCCTCCTCCTTCCTTCCTCCCCCCTTCCGCATTCCTCCCCCTCCCCTCCCCCCCTCCTCCCTTCTCACTCCTCCTTCCTTTCCTCCTCTCTACCTTCCTCCCTTCTCCTCCCTCCTGTCATTCCCTTCGCCCGAAGTTTTTTATTCAATGCCAAGTACTGCACATGCAGTGCACATGGAACGCAGTGCAATGCAATGCAACGCACTGGGATCGTTGGCTGGTGGCTAGCGATGGCGATGATAGCGCCGTTGCAGGTGTCGACGATTGCGATGCTGATGTCCATGTGCTGGTGGTGAAGGTGATTTTGGTGATGGTGGCGGCAGTGGTGTCGACTTGCGATGACGACCGCGGCGGGTGATGCGACGGCGCGGATGGCGTCGACGAGGAACCGCGCGCGCACACCTGTGAAGTAGCTGGCCGACTCGTTGTTGAACTTGCTGGTTTTCCCAGTGGTCTTGATGCGTTGTATGTTTGTCAGAGCGTGAATTACCTACCCCGCTTTCGTTTCCAGGCAAAACCAAGTCGTACCACACGCCTCCTCGTCAAGCGGCCTGATCAGTACAGGCCGTAGTTTGGCATCGTTTGGTATCTCTTGGAAGCGAGGGTGGTCAAAAGCGAGGTAGGCTTGTTTGCCCCCTAGAAACACCGATGGGGTTTGCATGGTTTTATATTCGGACGCTTGCAGGACCAATGTGCTTGCTATGGATTCGACACGTGTGCGCGCGTGTTGACTTTGATTTTTTTTGTTGTAGAAGGTTCCTGGACCGTGATGATTGGAGATTCGCTAGTGCACGATGGCAGTATTTGTCAAGGATGTGGAGGGGAGGGGGAGGGATACCCGCTGGGCTGGGGTGGCATGATTGTGAAAGCCTGACGGCCGGTGCCGCCGACCCTGAAAGACATCGACAACGACCAGGAGGGGGAGGAGGAGGAGGAGGAGGCGGAAGGAGGAGGAGGAGGAGGAGGGAGGAGAGGGGAGAGGAGGAGGACGAGGAGGAGGGGAGGAGGAGGAGGAGAGAGGAGGAGGAGGAGGAGGAGGAGGAGGAGGAGGAGGAGAGAAGGAGGAGGAGGAGAGGAGGAGGAAGAGGAGGCGGAAAAGAAGGAGGAAAAGGAGGAAAAGGAGGAGGAGGAGGAGGAAAATGA